GCTATATATATAAACCACTGAATATGTTTTATATGAGTCGCATAAAGCATTACCGGTATCATGAGAGGGAACTCTTTATTCTTAAACCTCCCCAACTAACTCCAAACCACAGATGACCTTGCACAACTGTTCAGAAACAGGCCAGAAAGAGCAAGTTGTTATGGAAAAGATGGTGCGCTTTTTTTTCAAGTTTGAGCACTTCCCCTTCAAGCTCTTCTTTTCCCTATGGTCAGCCTTTTGGGTATCTCAAAAGTCACAATATACACGATGAAGTATTTTCCTAGCGACTTCGAATTCGATACTCCTGTACTTTCTAGTCTATATTCCAAGTGCAAAAGTCACTAGTCTACTTGAGATCGATGTTAGAAGTGTTAACTGATATGTTAGATATTCTATGCACCCCTCCCATCAAATTAGGAGTCAAGTCTTACTCTTGAATCTGTTCCCAGTTAAGTGATTGAAAAATGTTTGCATGATGCAGCATAGAAAAAAAAGTGACACCACAATTTGTTGGCAGCCTTATTGATTGCAAGCGCGGGAATATTAGCCCGTAACAGGCATCGAACTGCGGCCGGGAAGTAATTTCGGACCGTTTAGACTCCTCAGCCCCCCCTTTCTGCATGTTGATGGGAAAAGTTACAAGTTTAATCAAGTTCAAATGATCAAAAACTCATTTTGGCTTCTGGGGAGTTATGATATGGAATGACATATCGCGCGACGACACCCCGCGTAACCCCCCAGGAATCCGTCCGGCATGTAGAGGTGACTACGGTCAACGGCGGGAACAATCCACACCCGCCGCCTCGTTTCGCTTGGAAAGTTTTCCAATGTTTTGTAACCGCGGAGTCGCACAACTCAATCAATCATTTGATATCTCCGCCGAAAATATGATTGAACAATTATAAGAGGTAATACATATCGTGGCACATTATGAGAGGGTTGGTATCGTTTCCATTATCTGGCGAGATCGTCGTTTGGGAGAGTGCGGCTTCGCTGAGTGTATCTGTCAGACGCTGAAAGAATTGATTGGAGATTGATGAAGGGGAGCAGCGAAGCTTGGTCGCTTCTCTGTACAACAATATCACCTGACAAAGTGACAACTGTGAAGCTTGTCATATCATAATGGAAGACTTGGGCTGGGCCGTAGTGTGCTGCGGCATCACGTCATGACTGTATCATGAGGCCAAAGGGATCAGGCTTTTTTAAACAGTTACTGCAATCTCTCCGAGCTTTAGGGTATAGAATTTTCTTCTTACACAACCAATAAGGTTCTCACCTGCTTACGTTTCGATGTCTATCAGACACCTTCCTCAGAGCTTCCAAAGAAGCAGTCTGGATAAGAAAATCAACCCTAGTACTAGTGATGAACCGGGACGAGGGGGGATACAAGCTCAGCCACGTTTGGGATTGCATTCTCCCTGCAAAAGCGCCACCTATTTTAGCGATAAATAGCGGCGAGTTGCAGAACTCCAGTCAGAAGCTCTGAGGAAGGTGTCTTGACATTGAAACGTAAGCAGGTGAGAACCTTACTGGTTGTGTAAGAAGAAAATTGTATACCCTAAGTATCTTCCAACCTGATGAAATTATTTATGGATCTCCGAGCTTTACTTTAAACATCAAAAAACACCTTTCTATTAAAATCACAAAACCCAGTCATTAAATTTAAACAGGGAGGTTATAGTGAACATAGAACCCCCTTGATTTAAAACAAAAATTGGACTATGAGCCACTGCCTCCAAAGTCTGAAGAGATGCAAGTTCCCCGGTAACTTTTTCCCCAAAGCAATTTTTTTGGGAAATTAGATCTAGAACAAGGACGGTGCAAGTTGAAGAGATCAGGTAAATTTGAAGTAGAGAAGAAGTGCAGAGTTTTAATAAATATGATACAAAAATGAGCATTTTGAGGATTCCAAATGGAGAAAAATTATTATCAGACAAGTCACAACAATAACAGTCAAAGACTGTGGTCACCTGTGGCCTGTTATGGTCAGTAGTGGTCAATCTGAATTTTCCACTGTCTGCAGAATCTGAACCTATTGGGTAAGAAGACTGTACTTATATTATATAAGGGCGTAGTGCTTGTTCCCCTTTAAAAAAAAACAAAGTGCTCTCATTCCAGTCTAGTCTGCGATTGCGAGTGCAAGCGTCCTGTCGCTTCCAATTTATCAATCGGCAAGTTGCGATGAAATCTTATCTCCCTCGCGCTATTTAAGAAGTAGTCAAAGCTTTTTATAAACAAAGACATTTCGCCCTAACCTTGTTTAGTTTCCAAGAATGTCCAGTGCAATTTTTCGAAGACATCTTAACAGCTCTGGAACACTTCTCGAACCCATTTGTCTGAGATGTCGCACGTCACATCCAGTTCCTTCAAGGCCTTCTCTTGCTCCCTATCTTATCAGAAATGCCACTTTTTCGGAAATGGAGAGACTACTGGACAAGGGTGCACTTTGTGGTAACCTGGTTTAGACTATAAAAACGTCAGGGAAAATTCTTGGGGCCATCTGCTTTGTTAAGTTTGAGGGTGAGGCGCAGGCATCAGTTGTCACTTGCGATTTATCGATCGCCCGTTTGGCGCAGTATCTTATCTGGCGCTCGATTTCTGGTAAGGGAGGAGAGTACCCCGAGTCACGAACGCTGTCACATGTTTGTGGTTTCCACAAAGCAGCTAGATCTTCCCGATACAAACTTTTCTTGTTGATCCATATAGTGTACATGCAGAGGTGCATAGTTTTCAACGGTAGTACAGATGCACCTGTAGTGCATGGAGAGTTACTGTATATCGTGAAATAGTCAGTGGTTGTATTTTTGCAGTGAAGTCACCACCGGTACCAATGTGTGTTTTTGTGTTACAGTATTGCTTCTACATGAAACATTGTGGAAACTACCTTTACACTCCTACCAAGAAATTAAATCCCTGCAAAAATACAAGTGTAAATGAATCGTAACATTACAGGGTACATGACTGTACATAATTGTGTGTAACAAAATTAATGTATATAAAATTCCAATGACTTCCCTACAAGTACAAGTTTTTTCATAGTATGGTTGATGAAATTCTTGATAATGGCTAAGCCTACATGTTGGTCATGGGCTCATGCATTTTAGTGATAGCAGGAGTTAAATACAGAGACTTCCAGCTGCAGAGAGAGTAGAAGACAGCTACTTGTGTATAACACCTATACCAGGGACATGCCAGAAACTCCAGTGATTTACAGCTTTTTTTCTGTGCTTAAATGAATGGTAATGGCTCTAGGTTAATTCAGATACATTGGAAACTTTTCTGGGTTGTCCAGATAGGAGTAAAGAGATGAGTGGCCAGGCCAATGGAATAATGATTGGGAAGCTTAAATAGTTAAAAGCATCACATGACAGGTGCCAAAAATGGCTTCACTTTGTTGGGATGGCATGTTTTACTTTAGCCACTTTACGCCAGCGATCTCACCCACAGAAAATTATTGATCCTCAATTCTCACTTAAACTCTCGTGCCGGTATCAGTTTCCCATTGTATTATTATACTTAACTGCTGCAAGTTGTCGAGGTTTCTAGGTGCACGTCGCGTTCCCTGGTCCTTAGAGGCGCAGGCATCACCATTTCGAACAATGGAGTGGAAACGCCGGGCTTCGTAAATCCAGACTTGCCAAACAGTATCGGAGTTTTCCTTTTGTGCGCTGAATCGTATCTGATTCCGGGTTAATGGCTGATAAGCGCCTACACAGGAAGGGATTTAACTTCTTTTTAATATTTAATTAACAAATTAGGGGCTGCCCAAACAAAGATACATTTGATATTCTGTTGCTGTAAAAGGCTAATTTGGTGAGGAGATTGAAGGCAGCTGATACCGGGCTCGCCGCTTCATGCATGGTGATTATCCGTCACAATTCCTGCTCAGCCGGCGATATATTGGACTATAGATCTGCCTGGGCGAAAGAATGAATAACCGCAACACAACAGGAAATAAAACCCCATTTCAGTGACTGTCGGCTCAAGTTTGATAAATGAGAAATCATAAATTGAAAATCATGCACCGTGTACTTCGTAACACAAACATATCGGGGTGTAACTGCGGGGGGGGGGATTGGCACTTCTAGAGAGTTATTTAGCACCCAGTTCCCGTAGTTGAGAATGGATTATTATTGGCAATCTGGACCGATTCATTTTCTTTTAATTAACCGATGCAGGGGTGGGAGATGACCTGGTTCTGTATTAATTGATGAAAAATCATAGGACAAATGAAGAAATGATAGGGTAATATGTGTGGTGATTGACGCACTTGGTATGAAATTTTGTCAAAGATTATAACTGCCAAATATGCTCGTCACCATCAAAAATCTACTGATCACTTAACTCACCTACATGTATCAATGATGGTACAGCTTATGTATGGAAAATAGCACTTAGTGGCAGTAGTAGAGGCTAAGGTTATCTGTTGAAATGAACTTGTAATGTAAGAATTTAGATGTTTGAATGAAGTGTAATGTTCCAACAATATTTAGAGATGGCAACCGCTCTTGTCTGATTTTCCTGAGATGGAAAGGGTTGGAATGATACGTCTATTCATGAGATTCATAATGAATAGAAAGGGATAGAAAAGTGGAAGGCTATAACTCATAAGAAAACTATAATTTTTTGTGGTTTTAATAAATATACCACATATAAGAGTAATATGTGATTATACATTGTCTGATTGTTTTGTGTTTGTGCCATGTGTAATACTATTAGGACCTGTGCAGTTTTTATTTTCAAAAATGTGAATAGAAGACACATTTATCAACAGTTACAGTAAGAGAAAAATGTTTTCCGTCACATACATACATGTATATTGGTCTAGCTGCCGCTATGTACATGTACAAGATACTTGGTACATATATTTAAGTTCAATCGTATCCTCTTGTTTGTTTTTGTAAGATTTTAAGTTGGTGTTGACTGTAAATGAACATTTCTATGTCATCACACATTACGAGTGCTAACTATATTGATGTTGTTGTCTTGCTTCTGTGTAGGAAAGAGGAAGCCTGTGCTGTTAGACGGGCAGACGCCATGTTGTCCCGTGTGCGGGGTGACACTGCGACCCGGAGCCGAGATGAAGGCCCACTTCGAGCAGGAGCTGGAAAAACTGAGCAAGATTGGGAAGTAAGTCAATGCCAAAGGCATAGAACAAGTTTCCTACAGCCTCCAAATCATGACAATCCCTTCCTGAGTTATCCTGTTTCAATGTTTGTAACAAAAGCAGGCTGCAGTTCCAAAGAAAGATGCTAGGAGGCTAATACTTTCACATTTGACATGTCTTGGAAAATAAAGTGGTAAACCTTTTTACATATGTCAAAAATCTATGTTGTTTTTGGAGGAAATGTCAAGGAACTTCTGTAAAATTTGTCCCAGGAAACCATATGTTACTGAAGATTAGTCTTTGCATTGAGTGCCAGGAAATATTAGAGCTAAAATTATGTTTGATTACTCTTGTGTCTGTCACAAGGATTTATTACAAATGTTTGATTATAGAGTCTAAACTTGAAATTTTCTGACAACTATAACTCAAAAGAATGTTGGCACACAGAAAGAGTTTCAACCCAGTCTCATTGCAACAATGTCCCTACTGGCACAACATTTTGGCATTATTTGTTAACAGAAATGTGCTCTATGGTAAGTTGGTATTTACGGTTTTGGCAGTACGTTTTTACAGGAAATGTGCATAATTTGAAGTTCAACTTTTCCAAACTGTTCACTGCCTACCAGAACTAGTAACCTTGCAGAAGTCTGCGTATATGATAGATGTCAGGGATTTCCTCGCTCTCAAAAGTTAGCAGCAAGTGGATCACCCGAGATCACGGGCACGGAGCCGGAACTCCTGAAGAGCAGCTACGAGATTTGCGGTGATCAATTCCGAACAACTTGGCCAGTTGCTGGGGAGAGTGTTGCAAGCATCGATCTCTCGCGCAGTTTTTTTAAAACTTCAGGGCGGTTAGTTGATGCGCCAGCTTGTTCCGTCAGGATGGTCACGAAATATAGAAGTCATCAGGTAGTGGAAGAAACTATGAATTCTGATAGTGTCAGAACTTTTTCCCATCAGATGAAGAGGCAAATTTGACGCCGCGCCACTTGAATCGAAATGAGGGGCCGACGCTGAGCCAGTAAATTACACCCCGGGCAGGGTCCGGGTCAGGGAGGCTTGGTCGTTATTGATTGGCGCAAGTTTCGGACACTAACTGGGCACTGATCTATGGGCTCCACATGCAGGTCACCTTCATAAAGGATGAATCAGTTTCCACCATCACGGATCCACCAGACCAACGATTGGTCCCAGGGGTTGCCAAGGAGGGCTGTCCCCATCATTTGATGGATGTGTTCAAACTCTAACAATCATTTTTTGTAAGATTTTCCTAAAAGACACTATTTTTTTGGAAAGAATGTTGACGAGACAAAATTTTAGCAATTTGAAAGTAAGGTCCACTACCTTCAACTTGAAAACATAAGCCATTGCTAAAACTAAAGTGTCTGAGTTTTGGCAGTGTTTTCCAGTGCGCCACTCTCCAAGTCAGCCTGTTCTCCCAGACTACAGTACATTCGTTTGTCTTACAAAATAGAAGCTGCATTATTGAAAGATATCACTGAGAAAACAAATGTTTGGGAAAAGCTGTGGCCTTCAACTTGAAAAAAATCAGCTGACAGAAACAGGTTGTACCTCCCCCAGTCAGCCCATGTTCACACGCCCTGTCTAATGCGCAGGCAATCGCAGGGCAGTTTAATAGTCTGGCAATCCTTCACCTTTTGTTGATGAAGAACAAACAAGAGCGAGCAGGAGTTTGCTTCTTTTGGGGTTGTTGGAGATACCTTTGTTTGCCAAACAACATTAGTACCCCAAGAACTCTGCAACCATTCGGCAACAGCCCGGTTCCATGTAACCAGAGAGGGACGCAAATCTGGGACAAGCGAATCCATCTTTTGCGACACCCCATTGAAAGTTTGCAGGAAATTGGAACAACATTCAAAATCACAGAAAGATGATGTATTGCCACCCAATTAAAAAGGGGAGAAAAGCCAAGAGACCCAGGTGGCTGTGTGTCAAAAATGTATTGCCCTCGTCCTTGGTGTATGGAAATCTCGATTTGATAAATGACGGGTCTTGACAAATTGTCCCAAATTGTTATAAAATGATCACTTTTTCTTCATTTGTTGTCAAGTAGACGGGGCGGCAGTTCACCGATAGTTCATGGCACCTAACCTTTTCCCCGAAAAGGGTGTCCTCTGTTGTAGCGCGGGCGTGGACACGCTCTCCCACACCGTGTGCGGCGGCCGGCGGGAGTTAAAGTTTCCTCGGAGAAGCTGGTGCGCCCGGATCTCATGCATTTTGTATAGACGCAAATTCCCCCCTCATGAATCTGTCATCTCTTGTGATGAATGTCCTTCACAGCCTAGTAATGACTTTTTGAAAAATGGCCATTCTCACTTAGTAAGTGATCCCGGATCAGAGGGTAGTTTGCTCATGAAAGATCCCTGGCTCTTTTGCTCCCGGCCGTCCGACATAAAACTCTAATTTCCATAAGTCGGGCTGGAGGTGTCCGGGGCTTACAGCCTCAACCGGCAATTTCGGGCAGCTTTGGGATTGAAAAACGAGCAGTATACCATTTTGTGATGTACACAGTATGTTGTGACAGGCTGTTATGTCCATAAACGGCAAGGGCTTAATCTGTGATCGTAACAGGTGCCCTTACAAAATGGAATATTATGGACCATCCCAGCTCCTGTAAATGGTTGCTTTGGGATAAAGTCCTGTCAGTTATAATTCACCGATGAAAGGAAGATGTTCACATCATATGGAGGCCGCTTTGTTTTTTCGCTGCCTTGCCCCGGCCACACTAGTTGAACACTTCTCAGAGTTAACTACCCGACACGCTCGCCTGTCACAATACCTTTGACATTTTCTGACATACAGGTATTACTCAAAGATGGTGCTCAAAGATTGGCAAACTTTTTTTAACTCGTCGGTCGGTAAGCACCGTCATGTGCGGGTTGTTTCCTCCGGGGTCGTTATTCCGGTGACGTACGCGGAACAACACGAATTACACGCCGGGTCCTGCGGGTCAGACAGTAGGGCTCGACCTGCATGTGATGCACATTGTTACTGAGTTGGACAGGTTCGCAGGAAGTAAGGAGGCACTAATAATAATAACAGTCAACTTACACACTAATTCTTCTCATCCTTTCCTCATTTCCCTCAGGAATGGGAAGAAGACGAATAAAGATGCTGCTTCACAATCCAAAAAGGTAAAGTTAATAGCGTAGATACATGTAACATTTACCTTTTGTTATTTAAATGTTTGAAAAGCAACCCCAAACTTACATTAATAAATACATGGAGGTATTAAAAAAAGCAAGGAAATGATATTGCAGATAAGATAATGATTGACACTAGAGTTTCGTTAGTAGTGAAAGTGGTTTCTTTATGATTGTCCTTGACTGTCCATGACTGTGTGGTAATATTTTTTATTATCCAAATTAGCTTCAAATCTCTTTCAAAGATGGGCAGTGCTTATACATTGTACATGTACAGTTAAGTATAGTAAGGACAGGATTGATGTAAATCTTTTCTTGTTTTACTTAGACAGCCTGTTGGAAGGTGAGTAGAAGAAGAAATTAGCATTTAGTTAAAAGTCAGGTTGGGCTAACTTTTTATCCTAAGGAAAATTGAGGAGTTGTGTAATGACATCACTAACAATGTACGTGTATGTATACATACATGTATGACTGTACACCTACAATTTTTTGTCTATGAACAAAGTTTTCCATTTGGGGTTAGTAAGTATTTAGGAAACTTTAGGGATTTCTTTTGTTTATCAGGACTGGTGTTTTCTTTAACAGCAAAGCTACATTTGTACATTGACTGAGCCCTCTTTGATACATTTACCATTATACATTTACCAACAGCATAGCCGTTTTAACATTTCCTTCAAATAATATTGATCCGAAGTTTTCTAACTGAACATTATGAATATTTTTACTAAATAGTCTCTGAAAGATTTTTTATCTTTCATACAGAGTACTACATGTAGTTTCTAGCTCTTGGTATATGATAAAAAGGTCAAAACATGAGGCATACATGTATGTCATTCCATGAATTTTCATACTCTTTTGGACATGACTATACAATTTCACTTTGCTCACATTTACCTAACAAATGCTGTACTAACACTAGTAACAGTGTACCACTGGCACCAGTCAACCTCAAAATGCAAACTGAACTAATATGTTGTGTCCCAAACCTAAGATTTGTCCCAAACCTAAGAGACTTCTAACTAACTCTTGCTTTTGCATCTTGGTGCATTGCCGCTGTCTCACTCGCCATCGCTGCTTCTGTCCACAGTTTACCTCTCTGTTCTACCACAGGCCATGGAAGCTGGCCTCTGTGTTTGAGGTCAGTCAACTTTCTCTATCGAACTTCTGGCTTTGTGTACATGTGTGTGTGTGTGTGTGTTGTCACAGTACACTGAATAATGCTACTTTTTGTGTCACAAATGTCACTGTTGTTGTGGTGAATATTCGTCTTGTTGGTAGTATACAGGATGCATTGTGTATGTTCATACTGTTGGGTAGTGATGACAAGTAGATCAACGTGTTTGTGACTTTTAGTTCAAACTCATTTTTTTTAATATTCGGCTGTAGACTGATTTTGATCAAGCTCATGTTAGAAGGTATTGGCAATTTTAGCAGTAGTATGTTAGAAATACATATTTTCCATGTTTGCCATGTGACATAAACTAAATAGATGTACATGTAGATATACAAGCTAGACAAATGATATACATGAAAACATTCCATGGCAGGCTTTATTTCAAGTCAGCCCACACGACACTGTGCATGAAATTTGACGCGCGCGCAATGCCATCTGTCCGAGAACACCTTGTTGGTGTTACAGCTTATACCGTGCAGACTCGCAGTCTTGCGCTAATTGCGTATGGAAGCCGCGCTGTCACACCGGAGGACGCAGTAGACAAGTAATTGGCTGTGATGGGTGTGACATTAACGTGGATCCTACACAGTCAATCAGCGAGGACCCCAAGTCAAAGACCCTCTCCAAAACTGTCGGCAAAAGTCCCCTGGCCAAGTCTCCGTGTATGAATATTGACGAGTTGAGTTGTCACTTTGCGAGTGAGGTAGAATTTTTGATTAGGCTCAACAGGGCGGAACAATGATGTCAATTTTTTCGTTTGACATATGATGATTTTTTGGATAGAAAGACGCTGAGAAGAATAACAAAATTCTTGATCAATATGAAGGAAAAACATGAAACAACCAAAAGTCAGCCAAACAATGTGTGTTAATCAACTAACAATACATGTGCATTACACACACAAATATAAATCAATATAAATATACCACAAAAAAATCTTTTTTTGTCAAAATTCAGTTGAAACAAAGTTTGATAGTGTTCTGGGTGGATTATTAGGTCAACTTCTACCCAGCATTAAAGGTAATGTTTTTCCATTGGATAATTAAGAAAAGAAATAAACACTTACCTTTGGAATACTGTTTTATTTTGGAGTAATTTGCTCTCGATTTGGCACCCATTCATTTCCAGACCTGTTATGTGAATGAAAAGTGTCAAACTAGCATCACACAAACTCTTCAGTCATGTTTTTGTCTGTATCTAAAGTTCTCACTGGTGCTCACCTAATATGTCTATGATACATGGCACTAATATCAGAACTGAGCAGAACAATTTGTCAGCAGCAGGCTGGGAGACTGGCGACACCAAGGTCCTGTTTGATTACTGATTATCCCCAGTGTTGTCTCCGACAGTCAAGTGTGCCTAATAGACCGGTACAGGTCGGACTCAACGCTCCGACATAAATCACTGCTAACTGGGCAACTGGCAATCAACTACACAGTCGGTACTAGTGTACCTGTCTGGATACCAGGGTAATGATTACCTGGATATCTGATACTTCTGACTAGCGGTAACATAGATAACGGACACGCCAGTTAGCTGCAGATAGTTGTAATCCAGCAAGAGGGGTCTGATATTGGCCCGGCACACATAACAAAGCAGCCCCCAAACTTGGTACATTAGGCGTAGCGTCATTAGCAAGAGTTCAATAGACGTGTAATTGAGTTTGATCTAGGCATGACTCCTGTTAAATTGAGCTTGGCATGCCAGCAGGTAGACTTTCCGATATCCCCGGTAAAATCTAAGCAACAACGAGAAGGATAAGACAAAATCTAAAAAGGAGAAACCGCTGAAATTTTCAAGGATGTAAAAGTTGGTGCAGGTGCAAGTGAGGGGTTGTAGTGAAATTATGCTGGTAGGGGATTAAAGTTGTCATTTACATGACAGATGTACAATGGAGCTATCCCCCCTCTAGGGAGGTACAGGTTGCAGCTAATGTGACACACAGTAGCAGTGTGTCTTACCATAATTGCATAATTAGTTCCAGTCCTGCATGAGGGTTAGGAGCCTAAAGAGTCCCCAGTCTCCATTGGACAGATGAGCACAGGAGGAATAGGAGGGGAGCAATTATTAGGCAATCATTGCTTTGCTGATAGATAGAAGACAAAAGATGAATTGAAGCTGTCATCAGACTAAGCTTATTTATTCTGACTTGGGCATTTGCTTGAGTTTAAACTTCAGCAATTAGTGATTTCTATTATTTTGTCTAGAAAGAGAATTAGAAATAACTTATTTAAATCAAATAATCTAGGCTATCTTATGTATGTTGTTATAGATTTTGGCATTGTTCATGTATTTTTATGGGTAATGGAAGATTGTGGTGCTTTGTTTTGGGGTACGTATTATTTCTTAATTGTTTGGAACAATAATAACTGATAAATTTGAATTTACAAAATTTAATAGTAAGGTTTGTCAGGAAACATTTATTTGCTCTAAATACATAAATGCTCAAAACATACAAAATCTATTTAAATACTTTCAGCATGCTCTTCTTTTACAAAGATAAACCCTACAAGACTTAATTTTTGAAAGGGAAATTCTGGATTTCAACACAAATCTTACAAGACTGAGTTTTTGAAAGGGAAATTCTGGGATAACACTTTCAGTCAGTTGAAGCTACCCAATACTTACATGTACATGTACAGTTCAGCCCCCCAAAACAATACTTAAGAACTCAGTGGTAAGTCGTAGTAGCATCAGAGCTCAAATAGATCTCCTGAATGAAGGAGAACTGTCCAAAAACTCATGTCACAAGAGTGATAAAATGCTGGGAAAAGATCACGATTTAACTCCAAACATGCTGTCAAAATTTATGTAGTCAAACTGCCACCGGAATTACTAACTGCATACTTCCAGGTAAATATGCCAATCAGCCAGCCCTCGGCCATTTGATTGTACTTTCTCAGTAGTCATCATTGATTTTGTAGGGCATAAAAAGCCTTTATGATACCAACCACTCATCGATGGACATGATAGAACTGGCCCACCCTGCCGTTACAATAAAGAGACGGTACCACAAAGTTGCGTTCCCCAAATCGCCCCATTGCCCCCTCCCCGTATGACAGGACATAAACTTTTTTGACTAGACAACATAAAAAGGAAGTTTCTCCCAGGTGAGCGCTCAGACGGACATGAAATAAAGCTCGCCCCACCTTGGAAGCGGTGGAGGGGACAATAACGACGGGACGTGGACAATATCCGGCCACATAACCCCGCGTTGGGAGATCCATCACGGGTTATATGAACTGTCATCATGTCCGGCAAGCAATAACGGACGGAACGATTCCCAGATGACTGGGCTTTATTAACTGGTGGCCGGCTGGAAATAAGGACTGTGGAATTAGGGGGGATGTAATAAGACACGGCCCATACTATATCACACCGCCCCGCTCTGAAAACCTGGGCTGGACAAGCTTTAGCTGGGAAGTACCAGGTCAACCCTAAACAAGGATGACATCGTGTTAAGATTGGACAAGAACTTACCTACATATATAAAGAGAAAAGAGGATTGAAAACTGCTGCGATATACATTTTGTACATAACAACAGCTCTCAGTTCATAACTCATAAAACGTGCACCAAAAATTCCTTACCAATTTGTATCTAGTATCAAGTTGGTTACACCACTTAGAGTCTGCAGTGAAGAAAAGTTGCTTAATGGATTCAAGTTACGGACACAAAGTACAGTGGCTTTCGTAAGGACGTCAACTAAAAATAAAAAATTGAAATCCAGTTCAGATCATATTGTATTGTGCATGTTCACTGTACTATCCAGTTACTAATGGATTAGAAGAAGAAACAGCAGAAAACTACAACATTGTATTATATAGAGATAAGATAATCACAAACAACATTATATTTAACTTTCAATGTACACTAAGTGAAGTTTTGTGGATAATTTTGTCGGTAGACGTGTGTCTAGGTAAGAATATTTATGCCAAATTCACTGTCATGTAAGTAGTTTAAACAGTGTTCACTTCCGACGTAAGCAGTGTTTACTGCTGCATCATGTATACCTTTCTCAGTTGTAATCTCAGCCAAACTTTGTGGGCACATGTAATCTAAAATTCATTCTGTCCATAAAATAAAGAGAAACTCTAAAAGCAGCAGACCACGGAGTAAGCAACGGCGAGGAAACAGGCTCCCATATAAATGCACATAAACTGTTGAATTGCACTGGGGAAGTATCTGTCATATTCATGTCATATAACAAGGTAATTCCCCCGTGGCACATGGCGGTTTATTGACTGTTTTGAGCTGTATGGACTCTGGCAGTCATTTGGATTGCGGAGGATGTAATATTAGGGGAGGATGTGTCTCGCGGATGTAACTGTGTTAGACTCAATTTGTAAGTTGGTAATTAGAAGATAGTTTCATGGTGACAGCATCAACGACCTGGAAAGAAGGGCAGCCTTCTGTGTGTCCTACTTTGCATATTGGGATGAGCTTCCATACAAAATTTTGCCATCCTCTTTGCGTAATGCCTGTTTTTGCTTTGAAAATTTACAAGTGATGATGCCACCGGTATCAAATGCATTTTATAAGCGGTCGTAAAGAGATCATTATGATTGTCTTCCTGAATCCACAAAAGACATATTTTGACATAAAGGTTCTAAAGCTTTTGTATAATCAAGTTCTACACAATTTAGGGAGACTATCGATGTGTAGATGCCACTTTTTGACGTGATTAGATAAGTGTCAACGTAGAAGAAATCTGATAAACACCATAATTAGATCTCAGAGATATTGTTTTTATTTTATTTGTGCCGGAAAGAATTGTAAAGGACCAAATCCCATCATAACATTATGATACAATTTTGCACTCACTTGATAAATCGGGCAGTCTTTTGTTATTGCATTGCGTTTATTTGTCTGTGAAATGACAAAGCCAAATATTTACACGAATGCCTCTGATTGGTGGCGTGTTTTGATGCAAAGAGTTAATGCATTGATAAATGAGGTACCCAA